GAAGCCTCTGTTTTTAAAACTGTACTTGACTGTATATTTGACATAAAGTTATAAAGCATGGCCGCTGGTGTTCAAACATGTATGTTTGTGATAGATTTTGTGTGTCTGACATTGTGTGCATGTGAGAGCATGCCAGCCTCACCCCTATTCCTGACAGACCCTCCCTCTGCAGAGCCCCCAGATCTCCAGGCCCCAGCAGGCTGGCTGCTCACTACCTCTCATTCACCACAATCTACCTTTCCATGGCTATTCTTACTTTATTCCCACCCTGCTGACTAAATATAAATATACCTATATGTGTATACATATACATGTGTAGATTGAAATAAAGTGAGAGAAAGAGAGAGAGAAAGGGGGAGAGAGGACAGGAAAGAGACAGAGGGAGAAAAGAAGGGATAGGAAAGAGGGAGAAAAGAAGAGAGGGAGAGAGAAGGAAGAACGAAGGGAGAGGAAGAGAGGGAAGGAGGGAGAGAGAGAGAGAAGGGGATGGGAAAGAAGGAGAAGGAGAAGAGAGAGATCTGTTCCCACACAGTGACACAAACCAGTCTAGGCACACTCTAACTTGGCTCTATGCTGCTCAGCCTGAGCCAGGGGCTGGATCTCATCAGGCCACATCAAAGGGACCAGCATCAGAAGAACACATTGGCATTCTTGAAATAGCCAAGCAATCCGCAACCATCCAACAGCTGCAGGCAGCTACCTGACCCCACCACTCAGCGGCTCTGTGTCTCTCAAATCAAATGGTCCCCCAGTCCAACAGCAGTCACCATGGAGACTCTGTTCGCTTGTTCCAAAGATGCTGCCACTTTTGGAATGACCATCACAACCTTTAGCACATTCTTTTTAGGATCTTCAGATACCAGAACCAGAGCGTTCTCCATGACGGCACAATCACTGGATTGACTCTGTCATCTTGTAAGGTGTCTCTTCTAGGCAGCAATGTGGACAGGAGCAGTGGATAGAAAGCGACCTTAAAATAAGGAATACCTGGATTCAAATCCAGCCTCAGATGTTTACTGGCTCTATGACCCTGGGCAAGTCACTTAACCTGTGTTTGCCCCCACTTCCTCGTCAGTAAGATGGGGATAATAATAGCCCCTACTTCCCAAGGTTGTTTTGAGGATCAACCAAGATAATATTGGTAAGTTATTTAGCACAGGGCCTGGCATATGATAGGTGCTTAATCACCACTCACTGATTAACAGAGTGTAAAAACGGAGACGCTAATGCCTGTAGTACCTAACTCAGCAGACTCAATGAGATAACGGGGAAAGCACTTTGTGAATCTTAAGAGTTCTGTGTAAACAGCAGCTATTCTTTTCATCTTTGTTTTTAAAAAGTTTCAATTTATAGTCACACCTTGTGCCCCAGATGCCAAAGCACCAACCGAGAGCTTGCTTGGACTCAGTGCCCAGAGAACTGGTAAAGCCATTTACAGGCTAGGGAGAAGAGATGTAACAATGAAAAGATGATTTTAAAAGGGAGAATGAGAGGTGGGCTGCTCAGGGGGCACCAGAGGAGACAAAAAGTCGCCCCCAATGACGCAATCCAAGTGCCTCTGCAGGTGAGATGTGGCCCCTTCCAAAGGCTGGAGGCTGTACAGGTGGCCCTCCTGTCTTGGTATTAAGAGATTCTCCCATTATCTCTGGAAGCCCCATTGTCACAGCAGGCCTAATTCTTAAGGGAAGGGAGCCTCTTTCCTGCCTGGGATTCAGGATCAGCAATACTGATCTGGGCCCTCTGGGGTCTGTGGGTTGGCGTATGTAAAATGAGTCGCCACAGTACCAAGGGCAGCGTCATGGAGATGGCAGCACCATAACAGTGCTGCCCGAGAAGGTGAGGACAGTCTTGCCTGCCGCAGCAATGAGCATCGTACAAAAGCAGTGAGCCGTCTGTGAAGATGACTGATAGAAAGCCCCCCCAATGCTGGGCTGCCCCAGGCCTTTCATCCGTCCAAACTGGAGTCCACGGCGAGCATTAAGCAAGAGAAGCCCGATACCCACAGGAGGCAGAGAACATCTACCTAACAGACAAAGGGAGGCCAGTACAGTGGGCACATGGGTCACAACTACAGAGGCAAGGAGACCGTAGATGGTGAGAAACCCACAGACCCAATGCTCCTCCTGGCTTTCAGATGAGGCCCACACAGACAGGACCGCCAGGCAATTAGCCACAACAAGCACAGCAGTGGAGAGCACCCCGGATCTGGAGTCTGAGGGCCTGGGTTTGAATCTCAGCTCTGCCACTGGCTACCTGACCTCCAGGGCCTCAGTTTCCTCATCTGTAAAGTGAGTGGGCAGATTAAGGTATCTTTCAGCTCCACATCCATGATCTTATGATCAACCGACCATCAGTGGAGTATGACAAAGAGCACATAGTAGGGGTGGGGGTGGAGACAGCACCCCCTAATTCTGGGGCACCAAAGGGTTTACATCCCAGTTGCAATACTCCCTAGGCCTCACCCAGAGCTCCAGTGATCAGGCAGGACCAGGGGCTGACTCAACATCATCCTCCCCTCCTCACTGGCATGAGCCCTGAGGCACAGCTGACCCGGCAGGGGAAGGGAGGGCAAGACCCTCAAACAAGTGTCCCCTGTGCAGGAAGCCCCAGCCTCCCCACCTCCAACCTCCACTTCAATAGTGCTGCCGTTACCGGGGTGAAGAGCAGCACCCCATTCTGCCGCCCTCTGGCAGAACTCCTAATTCCAGGGGCCCAGTTTCAGCCGCCGCGGCCAAGCTCCCTTCCCAGACCACCTGCCCCCACCCCATCCCACGTCCCCATCGCACACCTCCTGCTTGTCTCTGGGCCCTCTGCAGCTCCTGCATATTGGACTGTGCCCCTCACCCCACAGCATATTACAACACATATTATAATGCATATTGCAGTTCGTATTTCATCTTCTGCTACATCTGGTATATAACTGGGGTTTAACGTTCTTCTCCCCCGACCCAAAAGACTCTAAGTTCCTTCTGGGCGGGAATTGATGAAAGAGTTCATTGGCCAAGTTGGATTTCATGTGCATGTTCACTAAGAGGCCAGGAGATACGAATGAGCCCGACTGAGCAATCTATGCCTCTGCACCAACCTCGTCAGTTTGTGGGTGGCGGTGTCCGAACGTGTCCTGAGATGCGTGCACATTTACACATATGTCAAGGACAACAAAAGACAATGACACAGGAACGGACAGCGTGTGAACACATCTCTGGCTCTACTGGACGTGGCGGTCACACAACCCACATGGGCCAACTGGGCCAAGGCCGGGGGCACACAGCCCCCACATTATCCACTCAGGGGTCTCTGAACTAAGGAGAAGAAAGATTTTTCTAATTCAAGCTTAGCTGTGCTCCTTTTGACACTGGGCTGTGTGTTTCCTCACTCCAATTCCCACGGCCACAGTGGAGCTCCTGTCCACCTCCACCACGCCGTGCTCCTCCCCTGCTATGTCTACTGGCTGAACATGACCATTCCTTGTTCTTGTTCCTATTAACCAAGCCAAGAGTAGCCGAATAGGAAGGAAGAAAGGAAACAAGCATTTATTAAGCACCAACTGTATGCCAAGCACTATGCTAAGGGCTCTACAAATACGATCTCCTTTGATCCTCAGAACATCCTGGGAGGAAGGTTCTATTATTATACCAGGAAGAAAGAGGGAACAAACAATTGTGAGGGGTCTTTCCCAGGTTCGCACAGATAGTAAGTACCTGAGGTCAAATTTGAACTCAGGTCTGCCCAACTGCAGGTCCACTGAACTACCTCACTGCCTCAAATAAAAAGTATGGTAAACAATGTTCTAACTTTCAATTCAACTTACTTAAACAAGCACTTATTAAGTGCTTACTGTTTGTCAAGTACCATGTTAGGTGATGGAAATACAAAAATAAAAATCAAACAGCACCTGGCCAAGCTTACATCAATCAATCAACTAGAATGTATTAGGTGCTTCCTAGACACCAGGAACACAAAGACAAAGCATGAAATCATCCCTGCACTCAGGGAGCTTGCATCTCATTGGCCAAAACACAGACTATGATCATATTAAAAACGAAGAGAAAATAACACATGGGGGGCAGATGGGGAGTGCAACGAGTACTGTCCTGGAGTCAGAGGATCTGAGTTCAAATCCTGACTCTGCCACGTATCACCTGGACCACTTTGAACAAGACCTCTCCAGGCCTCAGCTTCCTCATCTGAAAATCTGTGATGCCAAGAAACATCCAGAGGGAGGCATGACTCAAAATTATCATTCGGATCCTATGTCGGGCTGGAAGATCTGCTTTCGCACATTACAGGCAAATAGAAACCTCCAGGACCAGACACCTCCAGCAGAGACCAGGGACCTTTTCATCCCTAGCCATCCCAACAGGGGGCAGCAGCATCATCATCATGGAGAAAGGCCAGAGTCTCCCAGCTGCCCCCCACCCCCGCCCCGCTCCCTGCGACTGCAGGACGTCTCCTGTGCGCCATGCGCACCCACCCAGGCCCTTTTGCTGGTCTCTGCTGGGAGTGGCCCGGGCTCGCCCCCAGCCCTTGCCCCTCCTCTCCACTAGGGAGGGGCAGTACGCGCCCAGAGGTTCAGGCCTTGCCATCCACCCTGCTAGTCTCCTTGGTACCAGCTGGCCTTTCCGTCCGCCAGGGACTGAACATGACCACACTCCCTCACATACGTGTTTTCTCCCCCAGTTGGAATGTGATCTCCTCAAGAGCACGCACCCTTTTTATTTCCCACTTGTATCTCTAGCATGTAACAGTGCTTGGCACACAGCAAGTGCTTAATAAATGCTTTTCCATTCCATACCATTGATGAGGAATCAAAGACTCCGAGTTCAAATTCTGGCTCTGGCATTTCCTGGCTGTCTCCCGGGCCGAGTGTCGTCCACTAGGAAACGCGGGGCTTGGACGAAAGAAGACCCCTGTCCATCCCCAGCTTCTCTTACCAAGGCCCTTTTCAAAGTCCCAGATCCTTCTGTACCACCAGGACACGGCAGGGCTTTCCTCCTTACCTTCCACAGATCAGGAGGGCCTTCCACCAGCTTGGCCTTGGTGTGGCAATACTTCAGTGCTAAATGCAAGCACTCCGTCCCAAACTCCAGGTCGTGGTCACTGCACTGCAGGAGGAAACACAGCAAACACAGGTTAGATAACATCGTCGGCGACGGCCACACAAGGAGGGGCAGAAAGGGAATGCCATCCAGAGCCTCTCGCGGCTCCGAATCAGGGCTCTTCGCCTCTCGTGGGTCGTGGGGACTGGCGAGGCCAAGGGCCTCTTCTCAGAATCATGCTTCCAAATAACCAAAGACGATCACAATGGTCACGGAAAACGAACACGTGATTTCCTTCCCCATCCACGTTCACGGGTCCCTCGACTGTCAGTGAGCCCCTGGCCCAGAGAATTCGTGTGCCTGTGAATCCGAGGCCCAGGGAGTGGACACTTGCCCCACAGCTGAAGAAAGTGAGAGGCTTCATTGTCAGGAGCCCAGGAGTTTCCTCCCTGAAAACATCTGGGCGCCAGATAAATAGAAGATGCCCTGTTTCCAGGGCCCACAAGCTACCTCTGCAAGCAAGCTTATTAAATGCCTGAAGGAATATCAGAGGGTAACCATCCTCAAGAGCTTTTTGCTGAGAGAACAGAGGCCTCCCAGGAAACCAGTTTTATCTTGTACATCACCAAAGTCTCTTCGGGTCAAGATGCAATCACTGGTTGGACTTTTCAGACACCAATAAACAAGATTCTGCCCGGAAGAACCTGCAGCATTTGGATCCCAAAGAACACAAAACCCCATCGTCTCAAACTCGGCCAAGGTGCACAAGTTCTCTGGGGCCATGACAGGGTCTGAATGGGCCTCTGCCAATGGAGAAGGGGACGTCTGAAGGAGGATCATACCGAGGCTTTATCAGTGCAAATTCTGTTCACAAATGATCAACTTTATGCTTGGCATACCAACATAACCATATCATTGAACAGAAAAAAAATGAGAAGGTGAAGTAAATAAATAGGTGAGACCAGGAGCTCAGAGCTGCTACATTCAAAGGCACCCAGTCAAACCCTCTCACTTTAGAGATGAGGAAACAAGGGCCCATGGAGGGCAGTGACTAGCCCAGGGCCACACAAGTGTCCTATTGGCATCTTCTCAAAGCCTACTACGTGCCAGAGACCGAAGATGCCAAGACAAAAGCCACACAGTCAGTCCCTCAGGAAGCCTGCCTCCTGAGTGGGAGGAAATGATGCAGAAGCAGAAGACAGTCTTCTTTCCTCACCACCACCTCTGGGAATCAGCCCAAGAGCCATCCTTCCCCTGAGGCCTCCTAACCTCCCCCCAAGGAGACCAGGCACATCGTGAGGGCAGGGACTGGCAGCTTTGGGCCTTTCCCACCTTGTCTTACTTCCTGACTTCCCAGGCTTCTTCCCTGCAGCCTCAGCTGATGGGTCAGCTCCCACAAGACTCTTTCCCCACTCTTCCTTAATCTTAGTGTTTCCCCTTCAAAATTATCCCCAATTCATCTGTCCACACCTTGTTCGTGCGTGGCTGTTTTCACGTTGTGCTCCCTGATGGCAGGGACCACCCTCCTTCACCCTTAAGTGCTTGGCATAGTGCCTGGCACACAGCAGATACTAAAAAATGCTTGATTGACATATACATACAATAATAATAATTACTAACATTTATATCATCCTTACTATGTGCCAGGCACTGTGCTAAGCACTTTGACAAACAGGAAATATATTCAAAATAAATATGAAGACAGAGGTCCTAGTAGCTGGAGCAAATACTGGATGGGAGCTTTGAAAGCAGCAGAGGATTGTGAAGGGGAGGGATGAGGATAGAGGGCTTTCCAGGCATGAGCCACAGCCAATGCAATGTCCCAGAGATGGGAGATGGACCATAAAGTGTGCCAAGGAAGCCTGAAAAAGTAGGAAGGAGCCAGCTTTTAAAGGGGTTTGAATGACAAGGGCAGGTTGTATTTGACTGGAGAGGTGATAGGTAATTCCTAGAACTCATTGAGCAGGGCAGGGATACAGGCAGCTCTGTGCTTTGGGTATCCCTCTGGCAGCCTCATGAAGGATGGACAAATTAGGAGGTCACTACGGTAGTCCAGGTGAGAGACGATGAGCCAGGACCTAAGGTAGGGTGGTGGGTGGCCTCTTTGGCCAATAGGTAATTATTACTACCATGCAGACTTGCAGGATCAGATAAGAAGACTGGCCTACCTAAGAATCTTGAAACTGGCTGATTGCTCAAAAGAGGAAAGGTCGAACAACCTGTTTCCAGTGAAACCATCCATCTTTCAAGGCACTCAAAATGCATATTGTTTTTAATTCTCATCATTAATGCTTGTGAGATGCACTCACTTAAACCCAAGTTCTCACTACTCCTACTCTGGTGCGGGTCAAGTAATTCCTACGTCTGTTATTCCCATGGACTGGAAATTGCTCATCTCAAGAAGTTTGGTGTCTGTTTGCCTTGAAATTCCCCTACCTCCATCTCAAAGTTTACTCGTGTTCTTCCATCCTCCTTCCTTCAGGAAAATTAGGTGCCACATCGACACACCACATTGGAAGGGGAGGAAAGGATCTGCATACCAGGAAGAGAGAATGGGATACTGGCACCATCTCCAACGCCTGCTCAGAGAACACCTAGCCCTGGTTTTTTCACAGCTAGGAAAGTCTGAAGAAAACACACTTGGAGGGATTCTCTTTGCTTTCTGGTGAGGGCCTGCTGCCAAGAGAGGTCTCAGACATCCTGAAAGGAATTGGGACAAAGAGCCTACCTGTGTTTGCAGGGGTCCAGGGAACTGGGAGCTGAGAACATTTCAGTGGCCAGGAAGCTAACGCTGGAAGGACATAGGTTCGGCTCCCCCTCCACTCACACTTCTGACCCTGCACGACTTCCTTAAAACCCCGGCCACCCCAGTGAACATGGCCATCCAAACTGGTCCCTTGGCCTCAGGACCTTCTAGGCATCCACAAGAGTCAGTGCCCACTTAACTTTCTAATTATTGTGACTCTAAAGGACTTGTTTTATAATCCCACTTATGAACATGGTATAAATTTTAATGAGCCACTTGAAAACTGTTTTCAAATGCTTTCTGGAGGGACACGCTAAATAGGGGATGACGTAAGATTAATTTTTCAAGTTAATTCATCATTATAATAGCAATCAGATTCAATAGCTTATAATGGAGTATGATATATGTACGGTGTTCTCAATGCATCCTGGCAAATTCAAAACATCCAACTTTTACAGTTGGAAATAAACTAAAATTAATTATGATCAAAACTTTGGAGCAATTTGTTAAGACCATCCTATACATATATATATATATGTGCATGTGTGCATATATATATGTGTGTGTCTATATGTATATATACGCATATATGTATACATGTGTGTATGTGTATGTATATATATATATTTAGGGCTAACATATTAAATTCCTGTTTCCATTGTAGAGGGTTGGAAATTTCCATTCTCTGAATTAACACTCATGTGTTATCATCCAGGAATTGCCTTTAGTGGTCCTTTGTGATATGTAATCTGATGTGAGGAATCTTAGAACCTGGCACCATTCACACAATGATTTCAACAACATGATTTCACAACACTTCATCAATGCAACATCAAGAAGAGAGAGACGGGTCTCCAGCACATTGGGTTGACCCTTACAGGAGACCAGACAGAAGGCCATGGACCGGAGTCACAGAGGATTCAAAGGCATGGAGAAGCTGGGCTCTTAGAAATCGGAGGGAGTCATCATACTGATGAGATCACAAGGTTACCTAATCATTCCAGGATCTCAGCATGGTCTCACGGGAAGGATGCCCAAAAAAGCACAATAAATAGTGAATGAAAACTTAACCTAAGACATGCATATACACGTATCTCAGTGTATAATTATATCCTAATTTCCATAATCAAAATCTGCTTCAAGTAAAACAAAATAGGCTTACCTACATTCAGGCCTACTGGGCGCACCTGCATTCAATGCATGATCATATCAAAATTCTGTCTTGAAGCAGACATTCTAGCTCCTCATACCTTACTGCTGTTGGGCAACGTGCCATAGAATTGCATGAGAGACAGTTATCCAGCAGACCTTGTTCTCAATACAACATCAGGTTATTGGTTGAATAATTAGGACAAGCTGGTCTTAGCCTGGGACCAAGCCTAAGGAGAGAACACTGATGACAGGGCAGATAACGATGGGTGAGAGTGAGAGAGGCAGACAAAGCTTCTCTTCAGGTAAGAATGCTATTGCAAATTTCCTTGGAAGCCAATTTACATTTTATTTATTTCATTTTTATCTACCCACCCACACGCATTCCCACCAGCCCCACCCCGCTGCATCAGAATCCATCTTGAACCTGGGCCAGGAAAGAGCTGCCCCTCCTGTCAAGGAAAACACTTGAAACCTCCCCAATGACCGCTCTACCTCACAGCAAATTCTCAAGGGAAAGGTAAGAAATAGGAGGAAATTCACTCTGGAGAACCCAACACTCTCATATTTAGTCATTACTACTAGCCCACTTTCCTACCTAATTTTTCCTCCCTAAAAACAATAAGTAAGAGCAAGACTAAGTGCAAGACACTATGCTAGGTACTATGATAGAAAGACAATACTGGAACAAGGCCTGTCTTCAGGGGGCTCATCAGGGAAAACAACACGGCCATGATTACACAAACAAGTAGATGGACGGAGAAATAAATGAGAGAGACAGACATATGATAGATAGACAGACAGACAGACAGACAGAAATTTGATAGACAGAGAATTGATTAAGGCTTCATAAATGTCAGCACCATGCTAAGTGCTGAGGAAACAAATACAAACAAATAAGAGAGTTCCTACCCTCAAAGAGCTTTCATTCTGAGCATGGTGGCATGGTTTGCAGTTAGCCAGGAAATGCTGCAGAGGCCTAGAATCAAGCCAGTTAAGGCCAAGGATGATCCACAAGGAGACACATCCAGTTTTCTGGTGAAGAGGAAGCAGAGATGACAGCCCACATAGATAGCAAGTCCACACCACCACAGCATTAATCTCAACTAACCATGCTCCCCACACTCCTTCCCTCCTTCCAGTGTCTCTCATGCCATCCATCAGGGACACT